GTACTAAAAAGTTGTATCAAGAAAGAATAAACTAGTTTTTAATTAAGAAAAGGACTTGTGTCACTGAAGTTCCTTGGAAAGGATTTATAACGGAAAATAACAAACGAGCAGATACATAACATACTTTTAACTTTTCTCATGTGCAATATATTAGTTGTTCAATAGTGTCATTCTCAGAATAACTGTACATCTGAATTAGTAGAAGACTAATTACTTTTAGTCTTACAGAATGCATTGCAGTACTCCTGGTACATTGGTTTATCGTAATTCTGTATAAATGTATAGAAATAACTACTGATTTAGATTAGGAATATGAAGTTTAGTAAACAACATGTTAAAGTTTCAAATGAGCAATTTTGATAATTATATTTCAGTTGTTTTTGCTAAACAAGATTTTGTTTAAAAAATTCAACCTACAGGTTTAAAAAGAAAAAAAACCGATGTGTTTGTCAATCTACTGAAGAATTACTTGGTCTGTAATGAAGAACATAAAACTTATTTAAGTAAATACATGCAGTTACTTTAGCAAAACCTTAATAAAAAACAACCCTCAAGCTGCTATATAGTAAAAAGAGAAAAGTTCAAAATATTTAGTTAACAGATCAAAGGAGAATCAATAGCCAAGTTACTTTGACTAAAGATGATCTGTGTAGGAAAAAAAAAAAAAGTTGGAGATGGAACACAATGCATCGATCACAGCAGCAGACTGACAACATTTGTGGTTGAGAATTACAGTGATATAGCTAGATACGAATAGTTAGAGTTGTATTTTAGACATGTCATTAAAGAATCTGAAAAGCTAAAATGAACTTAGTATAGAGAATTAAAAATATATTCTTACCACACACATCTTTTAGAAGATAATCTCCATTGTCTTCTCACCAATAATGTTACAGTTTGAGATTGTTTCTACGTTTCAGAATTTTTGTTCAAAGCTATACAAAGGGATGTCTGTGCATACCTTTCTCTAACTTTTAATTGACAAACTAGAGAGAAGGTAGCTATTTAACAGCTTCTATTGCCAACTCTTATCTGAATAAACAGTAAAATTTGGCTGTCACTCTTATAGCTCACCTACGGCCCTAAAGCATGGAGTGCGTATCTATGGCAACTAGGGCCACAAACCACGAACCCTTGAATTCACAGTCTGAGCATGTTAAACACTAGGTCACACCTGGCCTACCAGTGTGAGAAAGTAGTGAATGATAATGGTAAGCATTACACAGTGCACAAAAATAGTTGATGACGATGAGTATTACAAGTTTCTAGTGTCTGAAAATTCAATGATAAGATTAAGATGTTTATATGTTCTTAACTTGGAGGAAAGGTTCTAGGTACAGTTAAAGTTTACCATTTTCCCTGACATGTCACTTTGTGTTTTTCATTATTTAGGTTAGAAATGTTATACCAAGCACTTAAAGTCACAAGATACCACTTACCTCAAGAAAATGACTATCTATTGCTAGTAGACAAACACGGACTGGATGGCTCAAAAGATAAATTAATAACTTCAAGTAAACAAGATAAAAAAAACACTTCTATGACGAAAACCTAAATTATCAGGTATTTAGAAAGTCTTCTAGAATTAGAATTTGTAAACGACTTGTAATGTGGTAATTTGTATTTTTTTTGTTAATTTCAAAAATATAATAATCTAATTGATTGTAAAGTGAAAATGCTACAGACACTATCTACCAATTAAGCTTCAAGTATTTATTTTTGTGTGGTAAGAAGTACAATAATGCACAGAAATTATGCAGAAACTATATACGACTGGGACAGTGTTAATCCATATTGCATGTTAATACACTTTTTTGTTTAAAAAGTGACAAAAGTAAGAAATATCAAAGTATGAAAGTAACAGTAGTATATATAAACATTTAACAAATTTGTAAACTACTCAGAAGATTGAATTATCCACACACCAGTCAAAAGCATTCTGAAACATTCTTAACCATGGAGAAACTTTAATGTTCCTCCAATCTTCTGGCATCCAGGCCCATTGCCAAGGAAAGATACAACGTTCAGGATGGGGCATCATGGCAAGATGACGACCATCATGAGAACACAGTCCAGCTATCCCTCTTTCACTCCCATTGGGGTTTAGTGGATACTGTGTTGTTGGTTGTCCATAATCATCTACATATCTCACAGCTACTAAATTATTGGCTTCTATATCAGCAGAGATACTATCTTCTTTAAAGATGAATCGTCCTATGAGGAAACCCAACTTTCATCATAAAATAGCTGTATTTTGAATATGACTGAAAATGTAAGAAATATTGTAGAATTGTGTGTTCTTATACATGTTTTTGAATAACTGATGTGTTTTTTTATGAATATATTCTATAAATATTACATCCTACCTATTTCAGTAAGATTCTAAACATCACATTACAAAAGAAAGATACATAACAACAACAATTTAAGTCTCAAGCACAATTCTTCTTGTAAACTATCTTCTATTTTGTTACATTTTAGGGGTATCAAAAACTTGTTTGTAGTATACAAGACAATCCAAAATATACATATAGTTTTGAAATATTGAAACCACATTGTCTTATTTAAAACCAAATGATAAACTGAACATGAAACTTGTCTTTTTGACAACAAACAAGTAACCTCAACAGTTAACAAAATCTTTTTTTTTTGAAAAACAAACATTCTGTACAATGTAATGCACCAAAATCAATTCCTTAATAAAACAAACTACAATCAACCAACTCACAAATGCATCAATATAGCAATATGCCTTCATACATTTTCTGCATAGTCAATAATATTTATTTCTCCACAAAGAACCAGCAAACTTAAAATATTTTTCTCAACACAATTAACATACTCACTACAACACTTTCTGCCTAATCACACACATACTCAATAAAAACAAGTTTCTAGAATAATAATACAGTGAACAAAACACATTCTCTAGCAGAAACTAACCAATATATAGAGCTCATGAACATACCAGACCCGAATATTTTGTTTTTGGTTAATCCTTTGGTAGTATTATTTACAACAGTACAACAAATGCAAGTATCCCATACTTCCAACAAAAATCATATGTTCTTGTAAGCAATCAAAAATAAAAAAACATTTTACTTAATGAATTACTATGAGCATGAAACAAAACTTTTCAATAAGATAAATTTTGCATGAGATACACAAGTTTGTCATTTTGTTATCTTTAGGAAAGAAGTTCAAAGAAACATTTTCCAATTTATTAGGTATTATTGTGTCTTAATCCTGTTCACTGTTTTTCCCCATACTTCCAAGGAAATTTCAACATAAGTTGATGGAACTTGGAAAAAACAACAAGAACGATAAAAAGGTAACCTTATCACATTGAAACCAAAAGAAACAATCACTGAAAATATCTGCCTATACATCTTTGGTTCATTCTTATTTGTCACTACAAAAAATCTCTAATTTAAAATTGAAGTTTGGATATCACTACTAAGGTTCAAATCAGATTTTGAATCACTTGTATTATCCAACATTTAATATAAATTAAACAAATAGGACTTTCCATTACAAATAATTCTTTTTTTCTAATCAGTTTTATAAAGAATTTACTCTTTGAACCAAGTAGCCATTTAATTCATTTTTAAAAGTCTTTCCAGTGAAACTATAAACATACCTTCACCATGAGCAACCCATACCCCCAACACAGATCCTTCCATTCCTTTCAGCATGATACTCGAGCTTTCCTCAATCCGAACAGTTACAAAACGGGACTCAAACCGCTCTGAGAGATTATGAGTCAGAAGGGTTCCTCCTATAGTTTTTTCATTTTCTGCACAAAGTCATATACTGATGAGTTTCTTAAAACACTTGTAGAAGTTTTTAAAGTAGTTATTAGCTGATCTCTGAAATACTACACACATTAGATATGTGAAGCTTGTTGAATTTAATATTATTATTAAACATTTGCATACTAGATTATGTTTAATGAAAATATTTTGGGAGCTTAATAAAAAGTTTTTCTATAGTCAAGTATCATTAAATATGGTAGTACTTAATAGTAGGGGTCATGATGAAACAAAATGGTGGCCATAAAAATTGCTCATTTAAAAGCACCTTTAAAATGCCTGAATATTAACAATGACTATTGGCTAATAAAAAGGAAACAAACATGTAAAATAAAAAGTTTTTCAATTTTATAAATACAAATAGGGATCTAAATGTATGTAACCTAGCTAGTTATAGTAATATAGAAGTTTTTATGCTACAAAAAGTAGTGAAACAAAAGTCAAAGCTACAAAAATTGAGTCACTTAAAATTTGAAAAAATTTATCCCAACTTTGGCTCAAGCTAACATAATTATAGTGATTTGCCAAAGTTATAATTTTCCTGTACAAAAATGTATTTCCGACAGGTACTTCTCTCCCTTCACAAGATTAGCTTTTCCCATTCTGTGCTGCCCTCTATATGCGAGCTTTTTTCAAAATGCATGCCACAAGCCTTCCACTTCCCTGTTGGATTCCAAAGTTCCAACATTTCTCTCATGCAAATCATCATGCATCTCCTCTCCACCAATAGAAGAGCACTACTATCATGTGACTCCCTCTATGCACCACTACCGAACTATCACTTCGAAGTTTGGCAGAATACGTAAGCACTGGAAGATTGTGGGGAGGAAGAGTTGGAAGTATGAGCGAGGGAAGTACCTATCGGAAATACATGTTCGTATAGGAAAATTATAACTTCTGATATGTACCTTTCTTCCACTCACAGGCATATCCCCAAAAAGCATCCAGAGGACATCCCCTGGGAATGAGAGAAACAGATCAGATGATCTATGGAGGGGAACCGCACCACTTCTGAACCAAGTATCTCTTTGCCATGAACAGGTGGGATCAAAACATGGCAGAATATGAAGGGAGCACATCTTTGTGGGAGAGGATAGGTCAGTAATGTGATCCCAATCAGAGAAACAGATACACTCAATCCCATGTAATGAAAGTGGGTAATAGAGGATATGTCCCATAGTGTAGAGTGGCTAGTGTGCATCGAACTGTACTCGGTAAGTCAACTACATCCAAAACCTCCCTCGCTGGGCACTGAAATCTATGCGAGGTTAGGCAAGAATCATTCAGTCTTCACCTCAAGCCATAGAGTCATGAAGGTACATATAATATAGACTCCAGGAAATGTCACAGGATGAGAACTGAGTTAGGGGCCTGGGAATGTGTCATTCAATATCTGAGGGACATCCATAGCATGCAATCAACTGCCTTGACTGTTAAACCAGTCTGAAACGTCCACAGGTCTGTAACATTCTCATCATTCTCAAAACAAGGGAATGCCCAGGACAGATGCAGAAATAGGCCACTTAGAACTCCTGCGACCCACAACACAGAAGACAGAGTTGAGAGGGGAAGATGGATGCCCAGAGTGAGATGCCTAAATCCAGTTCACCACTCTGATTGGGTGCCCTCCTCCTACCCTCCCGTGGATGTTGATTCCCAGTGAATGAGGTTTTAGAGATCAAGTGAACCAATCACATAAGTCCTCACACAGCTTTCGGGTCGCGTGTCACTCATACGAGGGGTCTTGTAATTCCTTCTATGCCAGCAGAACACCACCACCCTACTGTGAACTGAATGGTTATAGTCATCTTTGTGGATCCCATTCAGCAGGTTGCCTCAATGGTAAACCACCCCAGCAGCTTGGAACTGATGAGTGATAAGGACTCCCTTACTCCAATGAAAGAAGGGGAGGAGGAGAAGTGCATTGGAGAATTTGGAGGGTCTGCTACACTTGAGACAGTGCAATAGGTGATTACAAAACCCTATTTTGAAAAGCAGAACAAACCGACTTATTCATTCCAGGCATGGTAGGGATGAGCGGTGATCCCCTTCTGCTTTACCCATGGATGGTATGGTCCGAGATGGGCATTTTTATGAAGTAAACATCACAAGATTATTCATACTCTAGTGATTTTGTGAAAAACTCCATCTCAAGGGTAAGCATACATAGCTATGGACAAAGTGTGTGAATCAACATGGCATACAGTGCAGATTTGTTTGAGTATAAATATATCTAAGAATGGTTATAGCCATTTACGTGGAACACATTCAGTGTTCAGAATGAATACTTGGTCAGGCACCACTTGCCACAGAGTGGGATCCAAAGTGAAGTTGAAACAATAGCCCTTGAAAGAAAAAAAGCATAAGTAAAAGCTTACTTTGTGTCTAAGCCGCACTGAAGTCTGTAGAGTAGCCACATGTGGCAGGTGATACCCCGAGGAAGCAGAAATTGTGATGTAGTGCAAGTAATGAGAGATGAACATGTGTTCATGCCCAACTGTAGAATCTTCCCCAATGGCCAAGGAAGAATGTAAAGTATTGATTTTGATGGGATGACATGGGAAAGAGATCAAGCTGGAAGAGGAACAAGGAGGAATAAGCCTACAGGATCAAATGACTAACTCAATTGGTCAGGGTAACAGAAGAAAGATCATGGAAAAAAGGAAGTGTGCCATGGGAAAAAGAGGCGGGAACGAGAACCTCAAAAGGAAGCCATGCATGCAATATAACAATGGAGGGCATGTACTGGGCACAGGAGTCTATCTGGATCAGGTTGAGGGTAAAGATGAGAGACAGAGAGGGTAAAAGGAGGAATGTCCATCACGAGACGCCAAGGTCTGGTGTAGGAATGCATGATTCAGGTAAAGGATGAGGTGGGTTGAATGATACAAGGTCCTGGTGACATCGAGAGTAAAAATATCCGATCCACAATGCCTGTGAACTAATAAGGAAAAGGAAATATGTCTTAAGGGAGAGGTGAAACAAATAACAGAAAGAAATGGGTTCGAAAGGAGGGAAAGTAAGGGCATGGAGGACTACATTAATGTTTCAGTCCGGAAGTGATGGGCGTCTCGTCGGCCAACAGAGCCGGAAAAAACAGAACAACATGGAAAGGACTGGGGAAGAAAAGACCCTGCAGAAATGGGAAAAATGAAAGGTATGGGATAAGGCTGCCCAAAAACCAAATATAGAGGCAGGTAAGGAATGAGAAGATACCGGCAACTGTAGGCCAAGAAGCCGGGAAATTCTGAGCCAAAGCCCAGGAGTGAAAAACATTCCATTTCCATCAGTAAAAACCCAACAAAGAAGGATGAAGGAATAGACTAAATGAGAAGCTACTGGGTGAGAGAATCTGGAACTCCTTGCCAGGGACTGGACAAAAGCCAGGCATGAAGACGGAAGATGGGAAGTAGAACTGAAGACTAGGGTTGATGTAACATTTCTGGAAGTAAGGATAGGAGGGATCACCTGGAGCCAAATCAACTGAGGAAACTATAGTTGAGCAGGCCAGTAAAGAGCAATCAGAACGACTCTGCACAGAGTGGCATGATGAACAGAAAAATTGGGACCCATCCCCCCAAACAGGTAAAACTGAACCTACAACTGATGGTCCAGAATTTGGGAGCTTGCCCTAAAAGTCACAAAGGCGGACCGACCCAAAGTCCACGGAGAACTAGACATTCCAATGCTATCACCCAATGAGTCGGCAAAGCATAGTGTAAACCCGAACATAAGGGGATGGGGAAAAACAATGTAGAGAGAAAGAAACAAGCAATAAGGAAGGACGTGGGTCAAAATAACTATGGCAAGAGATAAAACATCACATACCTGAGGTATTATCTCCGAGAAAGCCAACTAGGGGTGAAGAGAATCCTCAGGAAGGTATGGGAAGGCATGGTAAACT